CAACTCAAAAAAAAAAAAAAAAACTGAAAATCTATTTCCGCATTATTTACAAAATTTTAACATTCTGTTTTTGGATGAAAAATGTGTACATATGTAAATAGTCTTGTAATTATTATTTTTCAAATCAAGATGGGGCTAATAATTCTTTACAAATTCAATATTAGTGATTTGTAGACTTTTCATGGCCAGGCATGACTCACAAGCCAGTGAAAAGTCTCACTCTTCCCTACTGAACAATATTAACAGCTACAGCACAAATACTTTCAAACCATCACTTATTTTGGAGAGGGAGGAGAGAGAGTCTCTTTTAAATTTAATTTCATGGTTGTGGATTGTTGGTGTATTTTTTCTTTAAAGATGAAATACATTTGAATTCAGTATTATAATATTTGAAAAATTTTTAAATTTTAATACTTATAATTTATAAACTACTTCCAAAAAGAAAGTGAGGCAGCTTGCAGTAAAGCTACATATAAAACAAGATGATTTTTTTTTTTTTTTAGTTAGAAGAATTAGAAAACTTGAAGGGAAAAGGAGGCTAATTCTTCAGAGCCTGAGTAAGAGGAATTCTGTTCTTGAGCATTCAATTTACTTCTAAGTCTTCCAGCAATCCAGGCCAAAAGAGGTATACAATGAGCTTTTTGGTTTTGTTGCCTATATTATTTCAAGAAAAATAGCTGCATCTTGGCTTCAAGTTCTGGGAGAAGTTCAGAAGCTTTAGGTAATGTAACAAAAAACTTCAATAGCATTTCTACATATAATGTAGAAATGTGTGTCACATGACCATTTCCAATATTGCCAACCCACTGCAATAATTTAACAGAAAGCTTAGCTTATATCGTTGGGGTGCCTTTCTTTCTGTTAACCTAAACTGATGCAAAGGTACAAGATTCTAGAAAGCCTGGGAAGTTAATGGTTAGCTTGCCTCATCAGTGCTTCTCCTGTATTAGCTGTCTGGGTGGTAAAAAGAGCAAGACAGTTTCTCTCCAAGTATTATTAAGGGAAAAAGCAAGATACTGAGCAGTATGCCCAATGTGCTACCTTCTTTATAATACAAAGATTTAAGAAAGCATACCAATGCCTATACATGTCAATAAACATACCAAACATGCATGTGGAAGCTGGGGAGGGGGTGGATATAGCTGGATTTTGTTTTGCACCAAATATCTTATTTTCTAGTCTTTTCATAGGAGCGTTTAGTCCTTTTATATACATATTGTAATTATAGATACATTTGTGATATAATGGTGTATTAATTGATATATTTGGGCTTATTTCAACATTCTTTTTCACTCTGAATTTTTGTGACCCTTTTTTTTTTTTTTGAGTCAGAGTCTCACTCTGTCACCCAGGCTGGAGTGCAGTGG